ATAGTATGAATCTTGAAAGACGAATCAAATATTAAAATACTATTTCAAATTACAAATCAATTTCATTATTTACCAAATATCCAGTTTTAAATTCGTTGTTTTTTTTTCCTCGGATTGAAGTAGGACGATCAAAAGGATTTTTAACATAATGACGCGCCACTTTGTTAATACGTTCCGGTAGGGAATAAGAAAAACACAGGTTACGGCGACGTTTGAAAATTATTCGCCCGGTGGCATACAACGAATTACAAGGTGCGGTAATATCGAGGGAGATCGATCTGGCGCCCTTTTTCCAAGACCGATCGTTACGATCAAAATGGAGCACGACTTTCGCGAGTGGAAACGACGCTGTCGCGTAATTGAATCGTGGTTTCATTTTCATAAAGTATCCGATTCGACGAGCTTCCAATCGACCTTCCACGCTGGTACTTTGTCGATTCTCTACTTTAATCAAAAATCGAGAAGCAATCAAATCTATTTTCTGATGGACGGAGAAACGCGTCGATTCGCTTTAATACGGATTGATTTATTCTCCGTAATGGCCGTGGTCCTTCGGTGTTCGGCTTATCGGCTGGAGATCTCGTACAATTTGCCGGGAAAATTATCGTCGAAATTACAGTCAACGGTTAATTTATTAAACGGCACGAGCACATCCAAAAGTATTTCAATTATTCGAGGAAATTGCAGCCCGTGCATGGCCTTTTAAACAGCGCCCTCAAAAGGGAACGCGATCCCCCTCTGTACGATGATAATGATGATGATGATGATGATGATGAAGATGATGATGATGATGATGATCATGGGTGATCATGATTACGATGATGAGTACACTTAATTGCGCGTAGCGCACAATTATGGTAATAACGCAGATCGTGCCGCGGTTCGTCGCGAAGCGTCGCCGCGACTTTTGATCGGCGAACGAATAGAGACGGCCGATATGGCGAATGAGTCACGAATTCTCGCGGTAATTGTAATCAACGGGTGCAATCGTGATCGTTGTTCGAGTTTAATTGGAACTGTGCGCTTTGCATGTCTATCGGTTGCCCCTAGGACCAGAGGGAAATTCATTGAGCGTTTGCCACGTCGCTGACAAAGCTAAAAGCTTGCTGCCTTTGGCGACTCGACGCTTTGTACTTCCAGCAGGATCCAATCGGAAGCTGAAGAATCCACCAAGTTCCTGACAAAACGCATTCTCGGGGATCGATCAAGGAGGACCACGAAGGGTAATTGAGTGAGGAATTCGGTGCTCTGTTTCTTCGCAAACCAGGGTGAAAACGGAAGAATTTCTTTTAATGTACAACTTCTATCCACGGGTTTGATTTTTAATTCTCCTATTGAGAAATTAGTTCCGAGTTTAATTTTGAGAATTTTCTGCACCCATTCTAAAAAAAAAATTTGACTCAAATCTTTGACTCAAGAAAATCGGGACCCAACATTGCAGTTATTTAAAACATCGAGGTTTTTATTCTGTGTTTACACTTGGCTCGAGTCGAACGTAAACTTTTACCATCATATTCCTGACGTTTTTCTGGTTAAGACGAGACCAAACGCGACGTAATTCGCATCATATTTACTACACGTCTCGCCGAAATAATCCGGGTGTATATTGTTAATTATGACACAAAAAAGCAAAAGTAGACTACCTATAGGAGCTTGCGCACAAATATGAACATTTATCTAGCGGAAACGACTACTGAGAGGTCTGAAATTTGCATTGTCGAGACAAAAATAGGACAATACGCAAGCCCTTGCAGTTCCGTGTACGTATACAGTGATGTGGAGCTGTGTGAGTGCGTACCAGCACATACAAGGCACGGGAGTTCACTCTCTTAATTTCGGAATAAAAATAGGATACATCGCGTCTGACTAAGAGAAAAGATTCTGGTGAAACGATTTCCGTCCTAGCCAAACCTACCACAACCGGTTAAATGACCTTTTTCATACTTTTGTATACAGGTCTCATATAGAACATATAAATTATTTACAATTGTTTCACGCATTATTCAATTTAGCATCACGTGAAATATTTTTGTATTGAAAAAAGTGCTTCTAAGACTCATTTGTTCCATCGCAGTGAAGATAGGTAGAGACGAAACCTTGGTAGGTTTAGCGTAATTCGATGCACCGACTAAAAAAATAGCGTCAACGCCTTCCGTTAAATCCAAACGTCAAAAATAATGGATGTAATCCCGCATCGTTGTAGTTTCGCGTACCACGAACGCCTTTACACGAAGACCCCGAAGGTATCCAACGAGGGCCGAATAAACGCATCCAATTTTCGCAACATAGCCGCCGAGATAAAGTTATTCCAACGATTTCGCAAGACACCCATGCCCGTGATTTATATCTTACGAGTATCGTGGAATGCAATATCAATCCCAGGAACGATTATTTTCGAACTTGCAAGGAAATTGCACATTGCCCCACCTCCTGTTGCGCGAGACACGCACAACTTCCTCTTTCCTTTACCCTTCGTGCCCCCCTCCAGTGGATCTATCGATCCCTCGATCCCGTCCCTCTCCGATCGACTTCCTCAAAATCACTCCTCGAGCTCTCTCCCCCTTCGGGCCCGTGTAACCTTTTCATTTCCTTTGCTCGTTTCAATTTCGTCGTTGTCTTTGTCTCTCTCCATCTCTTCGGGACTGGTCCATGTCCCGTTTCTTCTCCACCCTTCTCCGTTGGCTCTTCCCGACCCGAGTCCTGCTCCTCTCTGGCCCTTTGGCCGTTGCGCACGAAGGGTACGGTAGGATACGTGATTACCAGCAGCCTCCGTGGCGGCAGACATTGGCCAGAGGTTAGGGGTCGTCCCGCCTCGGCTTACCGGCCAGGCTGCAAGTAATTGCAGCCGACTGCAATCCAGGGAAACCGCATCCTGCTTCGCCGTGGACGAAAAATTACGCGCGCAACGCGAATGGGCACAAACAGCGATGGAGACCAATTCAATGACACCGGCGATACCGAAGTGCGTCGATTTAATGTTTCATTGGGAAATCGAATATCGAACACTAACAGCTGTGAACGGATTGACCCTTTGCACTCCTATGTGGAGGATATTCAAGTGAAGGATTTCGAGAGATATCATACACTTGGAAATGACAAAATACGACAAGAGGGAGAATAAAACTGGTGTTTAAGTGAATTTGTTTCCTTGCGTTATTTATGTCTGTGTTTTTCAGTTAAAGTAAATTTCAAATGAGATACTCAAAAGCGTTGGGAGCTGTTGATAACGAACCTGAAATATAATTCCGTGTTTACTAAATCTGCCAGTAGTATCTTCTCCATAGAAATTTCTCAAAATTTCAAAGAATATTCTCGACTACTCTCGTTAATTATTAGCTGTGAATGGACTAATAAAAATTGAACAAGTCTGTCTTTACTAAATCTGCTGTAAGTAGTATTTTCTCCATAAAAATTTCCCAAAATTTC